GGGGCGCCTGGGTGGCTCAGCCGTTAAGCGTCTGCCTTCGGCTCAGGTCATGATCCCAGGGTCCTGGGATCGAGCCCCACATCGGGCTCCTTGCTCCGTAGGAAGCCTGCTTCTCCCTCTCCCTCTCCCCCTGCTTGTGTTCCTGCTCTCGCTGTCTCTCTCTCTGTCAAATAAATAAATAAATAAAATCTTTAAAAAAAAAAAAATTGTTTTAGATTTAAGTTTCTTGTCATGTTGGCCCGTATTTAAATACTTGTTAATGAATTGGAATGGTGCTTATTTTCAATCTGAATAACAGTGCCTAGAAATTTTTACTCTTCAAAGATCTGCTCTGGTCTCCCGCTCAGTACCCAACCTCACCCACTTAATTTCTGCTCTTCTGACTTTACCCTCGCTGTGGATTCCACCAGGACTGCCTTTCCCCTTGGTGTGTCAAGAACTCTAGTTAAGGGACGCCTGGGTGGTTCAGTCGGTTGAGTGACCGGCTCAGGTCCTGATCTTGCAGTCATGAGATCGAGCCCTGCATCGGGCTCTGTGCTCAGCACCAAGTCTTCTTGGGACTCTCTCTCTCCCTCTTACTGTCTCTCTCTCTCTCTCCCTCTAAAATAAATAAATAAATCTTAAAAAAAAAACAAACAAAAACTCTAGTTAATCCTTCTCAATTCAGAAGTCTCTTGGCTCCTACTGTGCCCCATTCACACCTTTACCACAACAGTGTTTAACTGGACTACAATTATTCATTTACATTTCATCCTGCCCCTCAGACTATGGATCCACGTTTTAAAGACAAAACCCAACATTTGTTCATATTTATATTTCTAGCACATAACAGATAATTCAGAACTGTTAAATGGGGAAAGGACTACATTTTATATTCAAAGGTAGCTTCCAGTTTTTCTTAAAAATGGCGACTGGTGGTGATTGGGATCTTCTTCCTTCTGTTTTCTGTAGGATGTGATGATCATGGCACCTGCATTACTGATTCTGTTGTGGGCTATGGTGATACCGAGAGCAGACTTACTTCCTGATAAAAAATGTAGGTACACCATCTATTAAATTCAGTAGTGTTGCTTTAAAAAAAAAAAAAAGGACATTACAAAAATGATAGCATTATTTTTTTCCTAAATAATCCCTCAATTAGGAAATTATGTATGGATTTTTTTAAAAGAAGAATATTTACTCTCTTCAGAATACAAACTTTTTCAACACGCTGTACTTTAAGAAAGCAAAGTTGGCTGGAATGCCAATTTTATGCTACACTGGGGAATCATATTCTGAGTGTGGGTGTTTGGGCTCTATGGAATAGAGTTGGAGCTGGTGGCCACATGTGAAATGCCTTCCCATGCAAGGGGTTGGTTACAAGTCCTCACAACCAAAGAATAAAAACTTCCACTACGCTTCAGTTCAGAAACTTGTTGATCTATGGATATGGTATAAGGACAGAGTCTAAGAAAAGAAAGTTATCATATGGTCCATATGTAATGTTGTCTAAGAGAACTTTCTATGATAGGACACTGTTCTATATCCCCATTGTACAGTAGACACTATACGTAAGTGACTACAGAGTAGTTGAAATAGGTTCATGCAACTAAGGTAACTTAGTTACCGTACTAGGGTAACTTACATTTATTTTTTATTTTATTTTTTTTTTAAAGATTTTATTCATTTATTTGACAGAGAGAGAGAGAGAACAAGTAGGCAGAAAGGCAGACAGAGGGAGAGTGAGAAGTAGGCTCCCCACTGAGCAGGGAGCCCGCTGTGGGGCTCGATCCCAGGACCCCGGGATCATGACCTGAGCCTAAGGCAGCGGCTTAACCGACTGAGCCACCCAGGCGCTCCGGTAACTTACATTTAAATAGCCATATATGGCCAGTGGCTACCATAATGGACAGTGTGATATAGACAGAGCCCTGTATGTGGCAAGTATAGACGCAGAGTTATAGAAGGCTATTCAAAATCAAAGGTCAGTGGAAATATCCTAACCATGTAGTAAAGGAATAAAAGTCAGTTTCCTAATGGTGTGTACAATATTGTCCTAGTTTTAGGAAACAATTTAACACGTTGTAGCAACATATGCCAAGGACAAAAAATAATGAATATATCACATATTAACACTATTCTCAGTTGCAGGATTAGAGGTAATTTTTCTTTTTCTTTTTGCTCACCTGTGCTTAAAGGAAAGTTTTTATTTTGAAAACAGTGGTTCAAAGAAAAAAAACCTCTTTTCTATTAAAGTCTAAGTAGTTTTGCTCACAAATTGTTTTGACTTTGAATCAAAATGAGAAATAAATTAATTTTACATCAAGAACCAGTACAAATACAAATATTTAAGTACATTCATGTAGTGGAAATAAGAGGTTCGTGAAATAGTAATTATGTTTCATGGACCCTGATATTTTCTATCCTATTTTCTTCCATGTCATTAAAAAAAAATTCTAGCCACAAACCAGTAAGTTTTTCTAGCCAATTTATAGATAATGGCCCTCAGCTTGAAAACTAGAGGTATAAGGAATGATATATTAAAATATTCATATTTCAGTAAAAACCTGAATATGCTATAGGGAAATACCTGGGCAAAGTTAGAAAGATAAGGAGTTAAAAGCAGTTTTTTAAAGCAAATTTTCCAAAATTATTTCAGTATTATACACTCTAATAATCATAAGATCCTTACTCCACACTAAAGTCCTTGAAAAATTTAAAAGTGCTGCCTCCGTACAATTGAACATCATGTGGCTCCTTTTCATCACAGCTTTACTTCTCCCACCTGTCAACTTCACCATCAAAGTTACTGGTCTAGCCCAAGTTCTTTTACGCTGGGAACCAAATCCTGATCAAGAGCCAAAGGATGTCGAGCTAGGGTATCACGTGAGAATAAACGCTCCACAAGAAGATGATGTAAGTATTTATTCTGACAGTCGTCTTTATTTAGAGTCACTTTTAACTTTAACTGCATTTTCCCTATCAAATTAACTTTTAAGTTACCAAAAAAAAAAAAAAAAAAAAAAAAACACCGACCCAAGGGTTTTCCGTTAGGTTCCAAGCAGAGTAGGGTGTCAGTTGAAAGGACCATGAACTAGTGCTGTGTGTGTTGCTTAGCATTCGACAGCGGCATAGAACCTTTTAACTTTGCCCCGATTCTTTCACCAAGAAAAGAACGTTTAGGGACTTTGAAGGTAAAATGGATTTGATACTTGAAAATAGGCAAAGAGAAAAAGAGAAGAGAGCAGTGGCATAAAATGGGAGGCAGTGGGGTGCTTAACCAGAGAAGGCAAGTTCGAATCCGGCTGCGGTCACTTCCTGCCTCGGCAACCTTGGGCCAGTCACTGTACGTCTCAGAGACGCAGCTTTGCCATTTCCCACTGCAGGGATTATGTTAAAGCACCTGATACCTAAGAGATGTGCAGTAAAATGAAATGAAGGGAGAAGCGATTAGTATTAGCTATTTTTTTCAGTCAATATGGAATTCTAGAGAAATTTCCCTTAGAAAGTTACCTCTGGGGAAGAGACTGGGTTTACAGGTGATAGCTGAAGTGAATGTGAGCCTTAATCATAGTATTTTGTTTGTTTTTATAGGAATGTGTTCATCTATCATTGAGGAATTATTATATATTATTGTACGGTTGTTTTTTTTTTTTAACACCCAAATGCTAGAATTGGGTCATTTATTTACTTGCTCATTTTTTAAAATCAACTTCGTTGAGGTGTGAATGGTATGGAAAAAGCTGTACATATTTACCTAACTCGATGAGTTTGGGGATGAGCAGATATGTACCTGTGAAATCATGTGCTTAATTTTTTTTCTATCCAAACTAGTTCCCTGAATTTTATTTACATGCCATTTAAAAAGTGGAAGAAAATGCCTATTGGATTAAAATAGCTCTCTTAATGCTCTTTCCCTTTTCTGCATCATGACTTGTGGGGTTTATTTTTAGTATGAAACCAGAAACACTGAAAGCAAATGCGTCACCATTCTTCATCAAGGTTTTTCAGCAAGTGTGCAGACCATCCCATGGAATGGCCACTCCCTGCTGGCAAGCAACTGGGTTTCTGCTGAGCTTAAAGCCCCACCGGGTAAGGCAGGCTCCTAACAGCCTTGTATTGTATTCCTGACTTTGGAGATCAGGCAAAGTTGGAAAAGAAACTGGCTTTTCTTTTCCGTAGTCAGTCAGCAGTTCCTGCCAAGTATTCTTGCTCCTCATCAACATCCTAACCGAGGCTGTGATCACTTATTGTCATAACCCACCCCGTTCCACCTGGTGCATCCCTGCAGACATAGCTCATGCTTCTCGCTCCCCTGCTCCCAAGTCACAGGGTCATCAGCAAAATCAGGGCCAATCAGGTCTTTCATAATTGGGCTGTAAGACATTTTCTAACCATACCCAACATGATTCCTCTGCTTTTCTCAGATTTCTAACATTGACCGCCCCCCGCCGCCCCCCCCATCCCCCCACAGCAGCTTTTTCTTGCCTCAGAGGCTTTGCTCTCTTGGATTGCCCTCTGCCTGCTCTTCTGAATCCTTTCCATACTTCAAAGCACAAAGCAAGTTGTACCTCCTCTAGAAAGCCCTTTTACTTTTCATCCTGTACACTGAAGGAGGCTCTTCCTCCTCAAAACCCATTCATGGGCTGTTACTCATTTGGCACATATGCCATTCTCTTTCACAAATAGCTTTATACCCTGCCACCTCTGAATGTAAGCCTTTTGGGGGCAGGGATGGTGTCTCATGCTTTACTGAGCCAGTAGAACAAGCAGTGCACACTTCAGAAGGAGCGTTTCCTCCTGTCCTGTTTGTGGCATTCTGCACTCTAGGACTTGTCATACCAAATTTAAGGAAGCTGCTGGTGGTTCACAGCAGCCACAACACGGAACATCCCACCATGAAGAAAGAGGATAGGTAGCATCCACTGTCTATACTGTCCTTTGGTGGGAAATTGGGGTTTCTAATACGTAGAGTCAGTGATACTTGGGATTAAAGCCTTGGAAACACACACCCCCACACCAGGGAAAGAGAGAAGGATCACCATGTCCCAGGTTACGCGAGTGTTCCTAGTAACTGTTGTCTTGGCCCGTCCGGCCCATGGGTAATCATCCAACCGTTTTCTCATCACATCACTGAATGAAAAGGCTGTGTACCCTCTGAATTGTGTCAGTGACCGAGAGCAGCCCTGTGAACATCTTTCTGTTTACTCATTTTAACATGTTGCGTAGACCATAGAACAGCCAATTCACAATGGCCTTGACTCCAAGTTCAGAGACTAATCCAAGGTAGACATAAGATCACAAATACAGACCTCTGTGTGCCTTACCTTAAACTACTTTCCCACATCTCAGTAACAGGAGTATACCTGTAATGCATCTTTCAGAATTACATGTCTGCAATTCTAATTATTCTCTGAGCATGCCAATATACAGTGACATGAATGAAAAATTAATTCTCCCCTGAATCAGTCTGAATTCATACCACATAATTCCTTGGAAGAGAGGTGGGAGACAAACAGATTACAGAAGACTCCAAACTATACTTGGGTGTGGAACATCTGGTCATTTAACACACTGAGTACAAGGCATACATACAAGTCTGTGTACATTTGTTGTATATGAATATAGAGAAAAAAACCTATCTGACGGTGCGTGGTAATAACACAAACTAGCCAGTGTCCCTTTTGTCCAACTTCTCTGCAGACACAAGGGGTCTGTCTTTTCTCCCGCGTGAGCTACACTGGCTGACAGTGATAAATATGAATTGACTTAAACTAAGCTAAACTAAGAGACCCCCTTCTATCATTGGAGATTCAATCTCAAGGCTCCCACTTTGATGAGGTCCTCCTTGACCCTCAGCCCAAAGTGTTTTTTCCCTCCTGTGAGCAACCACAAGGCCAGTGTCTCCACTATGGTGTGTTCTGAAGAGCCCCAATTAACATGGTGACAGTGCAGTTTGAAATGAAAATAAGGCTTTCCAGTCAAATAATCTTCAGAAATCCTGGGTGAAATGAACATAATGCGTTTGGTGGAAGATCACAAGATCCCCTTAATATCTTTGCACAGTAAAGCTGACTTCAACAGACTACTGTGCACGGAGTCTCCAAGGAAGTTTTTTTTTTTTTTTTTTTTT